AAAAAAAAAAGGCATGACAAACTGCCCCGATAGCTCCGATTGCAGCATAGGCAACCCTGGAGAGCAGTTCTACTCTGTCATATGGGGTCACCATGAGTCCACAGCCCTTAACAACATCAGCCACTCTGCTTGCTGGATCTGCAAAATGTGGCTACTAGTCAGCTAAAACTGTTTCAGATGCCTAGCATATCTCCAGAATGAATGAATCATACTGTTTTAGTCTAATTGAGTTGTTAAATTGTTTCCTTGTTACTCAGTTGAAAGAGCCAGCGCAGTGACCTGGAAGGCAGGTTTCTATCAGGGTATTTGACTCGATAGGGACATCAGGAATGGAATGACTGACAGGAGCAGGAGCAGCTTGTATGGTGGTCCAGGCTGGGCCTGTTGGATATGGACAGGGAGAGCTGGTGACCAGCCATATGGATTTAGACGATCTCATTCTATGAGCCTTTGTGGAAGGGGTGGAAGGTATGAGGGAGGTTGACTCTTTTTATGTATCACTTTCCTGATCTGAGTCAGTTTCAGACTGGGAGCGACCCTGTGGATTCCTGAAGCCATGACCCTCTAAGGGAGCAGCAGGTCTCAGCTTCGTCCTCTGAGGCAGCTGGTGTGTTCCAACTGCTGACCTCACGGTGGGTTAGCAGCTCGACACATAACACCCTATAGGAAAACTGATAGCACTCACTTTATAGTGAAAACAAAATCATCAAAAGTATAGGAGAAATTAGGAGCTAACCATATAGGCTCAAGTTGCAATACTCAGAATCTAAAGGCAAAATATTAAATGATGCAGGAGCCTCGAAAGAAGATGGAAAGAATACAGAGTCACTTTGCCAAAAGAACTGGTTGACATCCCACCCATTTCGAGAGGCAGCGTGTGGGCAGGAGCCAATGGTGCTGACGGAAGAAGTTTAAGGGCACTGAAACATTAGCCCCAAAGCAAGGCTCCAGGAATTGATGGGATACCAATGGAAAGGTTTCAATAGGCTGATGAAGCACTGGAAGCACTCTCTAGTCTCTGCCAGGAAATTTGGAAGACAGCTAGTTGGCCAATTGACTGGAAGAAATTCACATTTGTACCCATTCCAAAGAAAGGTGACTGAACAGAATGCTCAAATTATAGAACAATATCACTAATATCACATGCAAGTAAAATTTGCTACAGATCATCCAACACGGTTGCAGCAGTACATTGACAGGGAGCTGCCACAGGTTCAGGCTGGATTCAGAAGAAGACAGGAATAAGGGCTAGATAACATTGTTGATGTCAGACGGGTTTGGACTGAAAGCAGAGTCCCAGAAAGATGCTTACTTGTGTTCCAGTTATTGCGCCAAGTAATTGCTGAAAGCTAGGAGGATGGGTAGTGAGACTTCCTCTTATGTGCATTGGACATGTTGTCAGGAGAGACCAGTCCCTGGAGAAGGACATCATACTTGGTAACATAAGGAAAGAGTAAAAGAGCAGACAGCCCCCGTGGGGATGGATTGACAGCGTGGCTACACCAATGGGCTGCAACACAGGATCGATTGTGAGGATGGCACGGGACAGGGCAGTGTTTCCTTCTGGTGTACACAGGGTTGTGATGAGTCAGAAACAACTTGACGGCACCTAACTACCTATGGTAGAAATTGAAGCCAATGACCTTAACTTATCCACGAGCTAGATAATTACTTATTCTACTGAATTAAATGATGTCTGGCATGACAAATACAATGTCTAAATCATTGATTAATGAGATTTTGATGATATATTATTTAACATTTTTTGTTTAACTTCAATGTATCTGATTCATCCTAGGAAAGTAATTTAGAAACAAAAATGATCAATGCCGGTTTGCGATATGGATATGAATACCTGGGGAACTCCCCCAGGCTGGTTATTACTCCACTCACTGATAGATGCTACAGGTAAACCCACTAATTTAAAGCTCTATTGGAAATAGCTTTCACTCATTCATTGAAAAGTGCCAAATTATCTTTGACACCATAAATGTATCCTACAGTATTTTTTCCTAGATTCATAATTCTCTTCTCAGCTTTATGTTCAGTTTCTTTTTCCTTCTTCTGGCTTATTTTCCTCAGTTCTGAAGTACCTTAGTTAAGTATTTCTCCCACTTAAATGAAAAGAAAGCCCTTTATGTTTCCTCCTATCTGATTCATTGGCAATATCCTCCCTTTCGTTGTTATTCAAAGCTCTCTAAAGTGTAGATGATATTCCTTCTCTTTCAAATATTACCTTGATGCTGTGCACTGAAACCTGGTTTCTGTTCCTATTGCTCACCTTAAATAGTTTTGACCATAGGCTAATAGGATATCTCATTGTTGCCTTACTTACACCCTTTGACTGGTGTCTGCCGTTGCCCATCTCTCCTTTCTCCTTAAATCTATCAGTCTTCCTTTTGGATTCTTTGTGTCTTCCTCATTGTGATAGGTAGGTTTATTGTGCCAACCTGGCCAATGAACACGTGGGATTAATAAGGTCACAGTTTAATTGAAGGGAAAAGAGATAAATGGCTCTGTGAACCTTGCCTTTCTGTCTCTTGCTCTCTGATCAGACCAGTGTGCGGCTGCCTTAGCTAGTTCTCTGCCTCAACTTGCGAGCTACATAGCCTTTGGGACACCCAACCCATAGACCGTGTTGCTATAGTTTGAGGTTCCTTCAAGACCTGCTTCGCCACATTGCTGATGTATACATCACTTGAGCTGAGGACTGGCTGACTGTTGGTGATCTGCCTTGCTGTTTGCTGCCTGTGGCCAGACTGCCTGTATTGCTCTACAGAAGGCTCAGCTGTCTGCTTCCTTGACTTGCACCTAGCAGCCCTCGTGAGTTGAAGGACTGCCAGTGTATTAACTATCACACGGAAGTGAGTTGAATTGAGGCCTCTGTACTGCTCTGTGGACTAATTAGCTGTTTATTTCTTTGTGTTCTATCTATCTTATCTATCTATCTATCTATCTATCTATCTATCTATCTATCTATCTATCTATCTATCTATCTATCTATCATCTATCTACCAAATCATAAGTGTCCTGTTCTCTAGAGAACCCTGTCTAACACACTCATGAAACGTGGAACTTTCTCAAGTTCTGTTGCCATGTGATGTTGATTCTCACTCTTTATGGTTTCTATGATTGGATTGGTTTCAATTATGGAGTGATGGATTCGCTACCTCGAAGTTGACGGTGCTTTCCCCTCAGCCCTTCAGATGTCTTTATTCTTCGGGCACGCATTGCTACGGTTGAGAAGTGCTGGTCCAAGGATCATTTTACTCTGGTTCATTTTGGGGGGGTTTGTTGTAGCTTCTGAGCTCTTCTCTTTGTAGTTTATGTTCACGCTAATGAAACTAGATGTGATTAGCAATCCTGAGCCTACTGGGAGTGTCTTCCCTTCATGTCTTCCCACAATTCTGGAAAATTGTTAGCTTTTGTTTCTTATGTTTTGCCTCTTTTTGTTCTCTTTTGTGATTTTAAGCACCTTAGATCCTATAGCTGTATATTTATGGGTAATTTATTCAAATATATATTTGTCTTCTCTGTTTCTCTATCTACTTACATCTAATACTTATTTAAACTCATGACTGAGTATTTTAAATATGATTATATTTTTTTATTCCTGAAATTCAAGTGGGCTTGTTTACTAAATTAACTGTGGTATAGACTAAATTGTGTCCCCTCAACACCGGAGAAGACTTCAAAAAGTTCATGGAAAATGGAATGAAAAGGTAATGAAATTTCCCCACAAACTTTTTGAAGTCCCCTAAGACCTGATGCAACCTTAACCCCTGTGCATGTGAATGTCAACCCATTTTGGAGTGGTCTTTGTTTTGCTAATGAGACCATATCAGTGTTGGGTGTGTCTCAAATCAATTAGTTCTGAGATCTAAAGGAGCAGATTAGGCAGAAAAGCAAGGAAGCATAGGGGCAAAGCTAGCCGGCAGGCCACGTGAAGATTGTCATGGGACAAAGAAGCAGAAGCTGAAAGGAGGAGGTAAGGACTGTCACCCAGATCCAACAGAGAAGGACCCCAGAGCTGGTGCCCTGATTTAGACTTCTAGCTTCCTGCTTGTGAGAAAATAGAGTTCTGTTTATTAAAGCCATGTACTTGTATTTCTATTATAGCAACACCCAGAACCTAAGGCAGACTACTTCTTTGTCCTCACAATTTTCTGGTATCTGTTGCTTTTTATGTAAAATCTCATTTGACAGACCATCAGGATGCTGAAGTGGATAGGACAACATGTATGTAGTCACATTCCAAGACATGGCCTTCTGCTTTCTACCTCCTGAAGTCCCAACTTTTCCCTGCAGCATCTCTCTCACGATTCTCTCTCTCCACTGTGCCCTCCCTACTTCTCCATCCCCATCTCTGGCCCTTCTGTAGTCCCTCATCTAAACGGAGTTCCTTGACAGGGGCTGTTTTCTCCTGGAGTCCCGCACGTTCTTCTTCGTAGTGAAGATGGCCCGGGGGCATAATGTCACATTTCTTTCTGAAAAGGACTCTGGGGGGTGTTCTCTGTTCCAGGGAAAACTTACAGTGTTCCTTTCTTGGCTTGGGTTCTTGTGTCTATGGATAACTGAAATTTGGGTCCCAGATCCCTGACCGACGTCGTCTTTTCATGAGGCCCTGCAGGAAGGGGACGCTCCTTTGTTACTAGAATAACCTTCATTGTCACTTAGCGTCAAGGCAGTCCTTTCTCCCGCCCATTACAGCTCCCACATCGCCACGTTCTGAGGTACCTTCTCTAGTTTTTATGTGGACCTAAATATGCTGGTGTGTATATCTAGACCCCAAAGCATCATTAACTTTAGCACCTAATTGCTTCTCGGGCTGTTAATTCCACGTTCCATGGCAATTCCCCTTTCCATCTTTCCAATATGGCCCAATACTCGGAAAGCAACCATTTTGCTTTCAGTTTACGGAGCATCTTCATCTTTTGGCAAGAGGAGGACTGGGTTAAGGGTCCATTCGCTTCTCCACAGCGGCCGGAAGCCTGCACTGGATCTCAAAAGGGGAATCTGTTGTGGTTGCCATAGAAACGGCTATCAGAAGGAAATCTAGAATGACAGGCAGATCCATACACAGAGATTTGCAGAGGTGGTGGGGAAGGAAGTAAAATCGTCAGAGGAGCAGTAGCAAATTTCACTCTCAGCTTGAACTTTCTCTCATTTGCTTATGTGGATGGAAGAAAAATGACCTCATTCCCCACAGATGGTTTCTTCTTTACCTTTCAGAACCTTGTTTGGGGCCCTGCACCTGCACCTCGGGGGAGCGCCTGAAGGCCCCGCGGGCACCGGGAAGACGGAAACCACCAAAGACTTAGCCAAAGCTGTAGCCAAACAGTGTGTTGTTTTTAACTGCTCCGATGGCTTGGATTACCTGGCTCTGGGAAAGTTCTTTAAGGTTTGAATGGACTCTTCCTAGCTCTAGAATAAAGAGCCCTGGGGGCATAGTGGGTTGCATCAGGGCAGCAGTGTGAATCCAGCAACCACTCTCGGAATAAGGATGAGATTGTTGTGCTCATGGGAAGAGTTACAGCCTTGGAAACCCACACGGTCAGTTCGACTCTGTCCTAGACAGTCACTAGGTGTCCAAACTAACTCACTTTCAGCGGGATGTCTACAATGGGATAACTGATCAGAAAGCGAAGTTATTTATAGTGGAAACATAATTGACTGTAAGTAAAAGACTTACTGTAGTTTAGTTGAAGGTAAAAATTAAAGCGCTGTCAATAATTCTCAAGAACGGTGGGGTTGTATCACAACCTATCCCTCCAATTGTCAGTCCCTGCTATTGTGGAGAACTCCTATTGATAGAGGCAGGTGTCTCTTAATTGCATGGGGGCAGATGAAAGTTTCAGAGTCAGTGCACCATGTAGCTAGAGAAATGTTAACACTGGTTTAACCTGTCAGTCTTACTTTTAACAAGTTAATGCAATTTAGCAATTTAATCAATGCATTCTAAGTACCTTTTTCTTTTAAAAGAACTTGAAGTCCTTGTTTATTTTTGTTTGTTTTTTGTCAGATACCTACACTTGGAAATCTAGTAGATTCCAAAAGAATGAAAGATGTAAAACTTTATTTAAAAACACCTAATTATTTTAGAACTTTGTTGTTATATCCTGCTATTCTTATGTGGTAGAATTAAAAACAAAACAATCAATTTTGGGTTATGGGTTTTTAAATTTGATTGGTAAGGTTCTATTAAGTTGGATTGTACATAATTTTAAAGCACATTTTAAAGATTCTATAATCTTCTTAGTTCCAAATTTTCTTTTTAAATACAAGAGAGTACCCCCAAAAAACTGTAATCTTTTTTCAAAACTATATATTTGATTTTTTTAACAAAACAACCTTATCACTAAGTACTCTCCAATATACTTAATACATTTGTTAAATCTGCAATTCCATTCTTGGAAACATTTTTCAAACTCATCTGTTTAGATGGCTGACAGAACCTCCCTTGTTTTGTTCTTCATCTCTTCTATATCCTCAAATCTCTGTCTTTCCATGTCCCTCTTCATTTATGGAAACAAAAAGAAGTCACATGGAGTGAGGTGAGGTGAGTAAAGTGTGTGGGGCAAGAGAGGCATGCTGTTTTTTGCCAAAAACTGACACACCAAGATGGCCATGTGAACAGGTGCATTGTCTTGGTGGCAAAACCAGTTTCCACCTGCCACCAATCAGGGCGTTTTTGTTGCACACCGTTACACAGGCTTTTTTAGAACCTCTAAATAGAAAGCTTGATTAACAGTCTGACCTGGTGAATTGAACTCCAAATGCACCATGAGTCAGCATTTTCATCCATTTGGGAAGTTGACGGATGTCCAGAACAAGGATTGTCATCAATCGACATTTCACCTTTTTTGAAACAAGAAACCTACATGTACACTTGAGTTTTTCCGATAGCGCTGTCCTTGTTAAGCTGTACTCAACTTCACAACAGTTTCTACAGCATTTTTCTGGAGCAGGAAACAAAATTTCACAGCTCCAGCTGCTCTCTTAAATTGGCCATCACAAAAAAGGAGGTTTGATTGAAAATGCTTTTACAAAAAAATTCAATGACCAGAGAGAACCTTCCCATGTGACACCACTGGGTGGACTAACTCAGAGTGAGTTGCTGGATGCTTGTCTAAGTGGGAAAAATACATACTAGGAAAACTTCACCCAGTGGAGCCTTCTTCTGTGTTTTTTTGGAGGGAGGGGTGGTTACCCCTTGTATATAACATTATTTAAAACAAAGAAACAAAAAAGAGTATACCAACCAATTGCAGTAGAGTAGGCTTTTACTGACTGAAATATGGTATGGTTACTTTATAACAGATGTTGAGTAAACACAGTTTTTAATGCTAAAACATTTAGAATAGGAGCTTTGAAAAACCCCAGTCAAACCCTAATGAAAACAATTATCAAGAAAACATTTGAATAACCATTTAACATTTTTACTCACCCCTTTAAATACACACTTTTTTTGTAAATATGATTTAAGATTCTAACTATCATTTGAATAGCCATATTTTCTAAAATGTTTACAGAAGCATGAAATACATATTACTCACTTTTAAAATCTATAATAATTCTTTGATTTAGATTCAAATGCTTACTTGATAAGTTTTCCTTATTGATAGTGTTTATGATTATGTAGCTACTTTGAGTTAAGAGTCTGTTAGACATTTGGGGATACAAAAAACTAATAGATAGCATTATTTGTGCTGTCCAGAACTTCAAATCTGTGTAACTATTTGAATACGTGACTTTCGTAGCATTCTGCAGCCTGTGGCTTCTGATCCTTTTATTATTGGATTTCTTAGAGATAAAGGTCACAACTCTTCTCTAAATAATGAAAATGTACTGTTCTTTGGCTTGCATGGTGTTCATTTTCAGTTCAGAGTGATTCATTAGAATGAAACATGCAAATCTGAGCTCAGATACTTTGAGTTGTTTGAAGTGTGTTGCTTAGCATTGTGCATGATGTAGCCTTAGTTTCCTTGTATATGGGTACAAGCATATACAAATTGCTCAGTGAAACAGACAAACTGACACACAGACACACGTATACACACTCACATCTAGAAAATGTGTGTTTGGTCAGTATTTTTGAGTTGATTTTTTTTTTCAAAAGAAAAGCTGAATTTGGACTGAGATACTCAGATGATTGAATGGTGCAAATTTGTGAGATAGCTGTGAATTAGGATCACAAACTTGGTCCTTAAACTATAATAAATAATAAATAGTTGGCGCTTAAGGATATCAGACCATGTGGTGGTCTTATTAGCAACAGAATTTTAATTAGAGGATTACTATAACCCACTTGGTAGCGCACATGGAAAAAGCAAGTAAAATAAACTTGTAACTAAAAATAAGAAAGGCTTTGAAACTAGAACTGTACATACCAAAAGATAGATAGGAAATAAAAATACCAATTGTAAAGATTTTCAATTGATCAAACCCTTTATTCATGTAGAATAATGAATTGGTGATGAAAAACAGGCTGTCTTTAAAGATAAAGGTGAATAAGCAATTTCCTTGAGAGGATATTAAATCCCTGAAAAGATCAGGTGAAAATGCAACATTTCATTGCAATATTCGATCAGATAAAATAGAGAATTTCATTATTCTTTTTTTCTCCTAGGGACTGTTATCTTGTGGAGCCTGGGCGTGCTTTGATGAGTTTAATAGAATTGATTTGGAAGTACTTTCTGTGGTTGCTCAACAAATTCTTACGATCCAAAGAGGTAATGGACTAGTTTGTGTAGCATTATGTGAAAGGAGAAGAAATATGGCAGGTAATGAATGGACAAGTCACCATTTTATGTGGTATTGCCAAGTCATTTCATTCTTGATTACCCACAGGTATTAATGCAGGCACTGACATACTACTGTTTGAAGGAACTGAACTAAAACTTGACCCCACGTGCGCTGTCTTTATAACAATGAACCCAGGGTATGCTGGGCGATCAGAGCTGCCAGATAATCTAAAGGTATGGAACAAGTCTTTATGTCACTTACCTCCTGCCCGTGATTTTAAAGTTGATATATTAAAAAGAGCATATTATCCTTGGCTATGTTTTTGGGAAATAATTTGCTTTGAGGCATTATAATATTTTGGGAAATTATTACAGAAAAATTTTTTTAGAGCTATAAGAACCTTTATAAAGATATAGCGTCTGGGGTCTTAAAAGCTTGAAGGTAAACAAGCGGCCATCTAGCTCAGAAGCAACAAAGCCCACATGGAACAACATATCAA